CACTGTAAGAAACCGTTTGTTTTCCCGTCCTAAGTATGCGTAAATTCTATGCATGTTAAATCTACAAGAAGCAATTTTTACACATTTTAGTCTAATTACAAAATTATTTATAGCCAATGTCATGAATTGAAAGCCATATTTGCTATGTTTAATTTTCCCGCCCAAATCGGCTTCTGGGGCGCTTGGGGCGCGATAATCGATTTTTGCGAATATATATGTACTATTATGCACGTATTAATCAATGTTTGTGCAACTTTCCATGCAATTACAATCATTTTTAAATTCGGCGTGTTGGCTATTTTCGGCTATAAACATTAGTGTTTCGCAAAAATGCACAAAGGCAAATTACAACTCAAAATCCTTTCCCAAATGGTTATTCGCAACAACTTTCATAAAAAAGTGTCCTGAATAATTCCGGTGGGAACACCGTTTTTTAATTGATCTCCCAGTAATTAACGTCCTGCAGTAGGTGAAAATTTCGGGGTCAAGGGAAGAAAAATTCGCCGTTACTAGGGGTGAAAGGTATGAAAATATTCTTCTCTCAGGATTGAAGTGGTTAACAATTTTTTCCTTTTTATGGTAAACTGGTCTTAAATGCGTCTACACACGTGTACGTAACAGTTTATTTATGTACTTATGCAAGTGCATATGTATGTTAGGATTGCATAATGCAACCCTTGCATACACAACATAAGGATTCTAAAACAATTTTCCTTATTTCAAGCAAATTTTTGTAAACTGCATAATACATAATTCTGAATTTATTTATTGGACAAATGCAAACATTTGGTAAAAATGTGTTACCATCCTAGACTTTAATAAATTAGGCAACAGAGTCACATACATATATAAGGGGCACTCTTAATTCCTGACCATCACATTCCAAAAGATAGCTAGAACGAGCATATAGAATTATATTTTGCAAGCCAAGATGAATATCCGACCAGAAGCTTACGATAAAAGGAACACAATGCAGTTTGTAGAGGGCAAAGCATTAATTCGACAAATTTTATCCGATTTCCCGACAAGGTAAGGGTATTTTAATATCATTCCAATTTTCAGCTTCCGCGTTTTATTAATCATCCAGTGGTTCAACTAAAAAAAATCTGCTATGAAAGTTGTTTATCATTCACGGAAGATTTAGTAAGATAGGGAATAACACAACATAAGTCTCATACAAAAGTATGTATGTATGTATTCCGGTCATGACATAATGTCAGTTTTCTAAGGGTGCGTGGTTTTCTATAAACAAAATCAATATGTGATTTTAAATTGAGAAAATCAAGAATTCCAACGTTTTTGGTGGACATTTTAAAAGTATTTTAAGGAACATATTGTAATTTTTAGGAAGTTTCCCATAATTCTGGACATTGGTTGCGGATCAGGAAATCTGACTCGTTTCATGGCCAAATTACTTCCACACGACGTCATCCTTGGCATCGACAACGACCCGGATATGGTCAAATTTTCCGAAATTAATTACCCCACCCCAGAAACAATCAGCTACATGTGTCAAGACATTTGCCTACCGTGGGATCAACTTGCCCCGGAATTAACCCGACTCGCCGGACAGGTGGACTTAATCCTATCGAATATGACGCTCCATTGGGTCACCGATGTTGGGAAAGCCTGCAAAAACTTTGAGCACCTGCTAAAACCCGGGGGCGCATTTTACTTCACGGTGATGGGCGTAAAACCGATTTCAATTTCTCGGGAAAAACAATGTTTAAAGCGACAAAAAAGTGTTTCGGGGCAAATGACCGAAATCGAGGGTATTTTGAACCGAGATGAATTGCTGGTAGGGCGATCAGAACTGCGGCATCATCGCTGTCAATACAGTGCCGAAGAGTTTGACGTCCTCGCCCCCGTGATGTACAAAATGTACTACAACTTGATTAATAAAGTGGAATTCTCAAAATTGGGTAAAATCGGGCAGGACGCGGTTCGGCAAGAAATTCGGGACGGAGTCCTTGCTCAGTACGGGTTCGATGTGGAAAACGAGGGGGAAAATTATGTATTCGGTTCGGGAAAGGGGGCTTGGTTTTGTTACGATGTGTATACAATTCAAGGAAGTAAGAAAGTTGGGGAAATTTCTGAATAGATAAAAATAGGGAAATTTAAAAATTAGTAGCTTTGTTAATAATTGTTAAATAGATAGATTAAACTTACTTAAACATATAGTTCATTTTTGCATAAGCACTATCTGCGGCTCTGTTGTGGATTACGATTGTAATTTTTAAAAATTGGTCGCTAAAAGAATTTCCGAAGGGTTGGTCATGAATAATATTCATGATAAACTTTTTAGTTTTTAAATACATATCTACTTCAGAGGATTAATTACATATTACGTAATTAATCGTCTGAAATCTGTTATCTGTTAGCTTAAAGGGTGCCAAATAAGGGTGCCAATTAAACCACCCAAGAAAAATATTGTTTCTTCCAAAGAAAATTAATATTTTGTTCCAATTGTAGATCTTGCAATTAATTATTTTTTTATTCCAAGATTTTTAGAATAAATTCCAAACAAATACTAAAAATCTCAATGCATTAAATACAAGATTTAAAATATATATCGTTGGTAATTGAAATTAAATTTCAAGTTAATATTCTTTATCAAGGCGTTATGGTGCGAACATTAAAGGAAGAGTACAATTTTTGCTAGCCAGGGACCAGTCCTTCGAACCCAGGGTTCGCCACCCCGAGTTTTTGGGGGTTTTTGTGGGTTGGGGTTTTTGGGGTATCAAATCCTCAGAAAAACCCTAATGCTTAACGGGGTTTTCGCGGGTTTTCGCGGGTTTTTCCAGGGTTTATGTAAAAATTTGGGGCGGATTGAAAAAAATCCAAATTAACCCACAAAAACGCCCAAGAACCCGGAAAAATTCCCGGGGTTGGGTTTTTAAGAACCCTGTATCGTACAAGCCATCACATTGATTAGGGTATTCAGTTTTGAAGTAATTTAGAAAACCTACTCCAAGCAACTTTGTGGGTCATTTTAAGATGGCATTAATGCCATCTTGGTAGTTAATGACAACACATTTGGGTGGAAAAGACCCCCACTGGCCAACCACTTTGCCGATAATTCACATCTTCGAACTCAGCCTTACTTTTGACCCGAAGATCTAGTATACAAAATTTCAAGTCGATAAAATGTGTTTAAAGAGAGTTATTGTGCGTAGACAGACGGACGGACAGACAGATCTATAAGGCCATCTTAAAAGGCCTAAAAACCTTTTGCAAATTTCAAATTCAGCACCACTTTCAACTAGCTGCATTGAACAAAGTTGGCCTAATGATCGAATTGGTGGCCCTTGTGTTTTTTCTCAGCGTAGACAAATAATTATTTAGCTGGACGTTTAAGGGAATCTCATGGTATATGGTTCTCATCTCATATGGTTTGGTTTGTACATGTGGTCAAAGCATATCATGCAAATTTAGGCTTGTCTGATAACTAAATTATTAAATAAAGCTCGAATTATTCATCATTGAATATTTTACTATTTCTTTGGAATGTTTTATATTTTATTTGGAGAAAAAAATTAACTCGATTGCAGATTTCATGATTGCAGAAAATTATTAATCTTCTTTGGAACAAAATATTATTTTCTTGGGCGCAATAAATTTGACCCTTAAGAATTTAGCATATCAATTACTTAATTAAATTATAAATTATAAATGCTGGAAAAATTACACAAAAACAACAACCAAATTTTGAAATACAAGCCAATTAAGAAATTTTGATTCCTTAACCAACATAGGGGATAGAATCCACGTGGTAATTCTGATTTTACAAACACACTAAAATAAAGATTTAAGAATACACTTTTCGACTGGAACGGTTGACGATTTGCGGATCTCTCCTACAAATGATTCCCTACCCATGAACTTCTATCCATTATTCCCTACCCGCAATTATCTCCCACCCATGAACTCCTATCTATTATCTCCTACCCGTGATCATCTCCCGATCGGGTCCCGAGTCGTACAAGAGTAAGTCTGCTCCCCCTTTCGACTTCTGAAACGAGACAGGTAAAACAATATCCTCGCGCCGATGAGGCTGGACAAGGGATCCTGAGCCAGCAGCACGTACATCTCTGATTGTTCTTTTCAGATTTTGTTTTAGAGGAAGGACCCCTCCCTTGAACTGCTGCTGACACATGTTCCACGTTTCAAGAAATTATGCTTGCTGGTTGATCATTAGTATGTAGAACTGGCGTCGTGACGGATCTTTGTTCGAATTTGACGAAGCTCGACATCGATGGAACTTGCAGGGTGATTGTGAGTTCCCATTTCACAAATGAGGGTCACGTTATCCAGGCAGGTCGACGTGTGCGTCCTGGCGGGACATTTTCCTTCGCGATGACGTTCACAAACCCAAATCCGTTTGTCGACACCGGATTTATTGAAAACGAAGGAGTATCCATTTACACAGGCAACAGGTTTTCCCCGAATTGATTCCGATATCGTAATGTTTGCCATTTCTGGTTAATAATAACAGTGAAATCAATTATAATAAAATATTTCTTCTGTAAATATTTCTTCAAGTGGAAAATTATTTTGTATACGGAAACCTATAAAGTGGCCTAACATCATCCCCGAAAATCGAAATTTTATTCAGATTTGGAAGAAATTTACATTTTTGTGATCCCAGATAGTTGATACATCATATCCAATATCAATCTCAGCTTTTGTTAAATTTTCAATATTTTTGAAAATTTTCTGTATGTACATATTAAAACATTTGAAACAATTCAAAAAAGTTGAGTTGGCTGTTGGGTATGATATTTTATTTAAATCCAGGAGAAGGGATCCTTCGAAGGGTGTAAGAATTTACCTGCTTCAAGCCACTACTATGTATGTATGTACCCTTGCATACATAAACAGGTACCTCCACTTGTTTCAGCCCTACCACCAGAATGCTTTACCTTTCTCATCCTAAAAATAAACTGGGTCTGATATTTATTTATGAGACAAACAAAGCTTGCGAGAGTTTAGTTGTGGACTTTGAAGTTGGCAGAGGACGTAAACTTGCAGCCTCGTTACCATTACGGTATTGGTTATTAACAATATTATTAATAATGGAAAAATACGAAGATAAAATAAACACATATATACATATTTCATACATACCTACATATCTATTCCCCCGAAGAATGTTTACCAAACGAAAAAGCGTTAAGTGCCCAACATTCGATTTCCACATAGAATGGATCCACCGCAAATATATGGACTAGCGTGTTCCACATGCTTGAAAGCTTTCACCACTAAAAAACAGTTAAACCGTCACATGTCCACGCATGACGTCGATGCGAAGGTGAAATGTGAGGTAATTGATACCAATAAGAGCAAATATGTACATACGTGTAAAATTAAACCAACCAAACCACATATGTAAATGCTCTTCTTTCATCATGATCTTTAGATCTGCAGGAAAATCTTTAAAAATCCAGTATACTTATCCATCCACATAAAAATGCTTCACACTCCGCGGGACCGGCCCAGTTGCGACACTTGTCACCGTACATTTTACACACCTGCAACTTTGCGGAGGCACATTGCTTCCGTCCACAACACGAAGGAACGGCCTCGGTTCCCATGTGGGTTTCCCCGCTGCGACAAATCCTACCTGTCGAAAAACATTGTATCGCAACACGTAAAAACTGAACATACCGAAAATGCGGTCCGATTTCCTTGCCCGCTTTGCGGTAAAGAGTTCAAGAATAGATACAAGCTTGAGAGGCACATTTCCACCCACACGAAGGAGAAAGCGTACAGTTGTTCCACTTGTGGGAGGAGTTTCGCGGAATTAACAGATGTGAAATGTCACGAGGTACGAATAAGTCATATGCCTCGTAAATATATTGTTAGATAAAATCAAGGAAAAAATTCAGCCATTTATAAATATATCTTTGTATATTTTCAGGCTACACATTTGGAAAAATCGACCCGTTGGATTTTCAAGTGTGAACTTTGTGGTCAGGCTTTCTTCTATAAATCTCATTTACAAAGCCATATCCAAGTTGTACATGAGAATCAGAGGAATCATCCGTGCACAATTTGCGACAAAAGATTCTCGACCTCGGGAAATATGAGAGATCACGTGATGGCCGTACATTTCGCGTGTGAGGAGAAGACTCATTCCTGCGACAAATGTGAATACAGAAGCCACTCCAAGGCAAATTTAGCCAATCACGCGAGACGTCACAATCCTGCGACTCGACGAGAATGTTACTTCTGCAGGAAGAAGTTTGTCTGGTTTTCGAGTTTAGTGAGACATTTACGTCGTCATACGATCGAATCCATTTAGATAATTTTTGACGTTCGACTTGTGACAAGATCAACGACAAATTATGTATGTAGACAAGGCTCTTGTTTATATAATTTTATTATTAGGCCAATAATAATGTGTTCACACTTATGATATTAAATATGTACATACACCTATGTAACTCAAATAAAATTTAATACAATACTTTGTTATACTGCCTTATTTAATAACACAATATTTCAATAGCATAATTTATTTCTGTCCAATGTATGGAATAAGTCGTCTTACAAATCTGTTCCTTATTAGTAGAAGGGTTATTTCTGGAAAAATGCGCCCTTGATTTCACCAACATTCACCTCGCAGAACTCCTACCAGGCACAGTTCGTCCCTTGGACCTTCTAAATATCTAAAAATATACGTATTGTTCAGGCAGACAGGTTCGTGCTGAGTCTACGAATAAGCTCCATTCCATTCCACCTACTTGACTACTATGTCGTGCATTATAAAATCAGACACTCCGGTCTATTTTCTCCTCAGTCATAAAATTCTGAGAGGAATTAGTCCGATATGCGGATAACAGATACATTTCAACACACTGGCTCACTCAGGAGTAATCAAGTAAAAGTGCAGTTTTGCTTAGAATTTCATAATTTAATTTAAACCTCGACGGGTCTGAATTACAGGCTCTGAAATTGAAATTAAAATGGGCTCAACAAAAGAAAACGTTTGGAAATGTTCCACCTGCGCAAAAACTTTTCCAAGGAAACGGAACTTAATCAGGCATAACTTAACACACGACGATTCCGAGCCAAAGGCGGAATGTCCGGTAAACATTTAACTTTACAACATTGACACAAATTTTACAATTTCGACCACCTCGCATCACACATGTCATGATTTTCATTATAATTATAACTGCAGATTTGCAAGAAAATCTTGAAAAACGCACCAACTTTGTCGGTCCACATGATAATGCTTCACACGAACCGGAAACGACCAAGTTGCGACACCTGTCATAAAATATTTTCAACATCTGCAAATTTACGGAGACACGTTGCTATTTATCACGGAACGAAGAAACGGCCTCGTTATCCATGCGGGTTTCCTGACTGTGAGAAATCCTATTTGAAGAAAAGTAGTGTAGCGCAACACATAAGAAATGAGCATACCGAGAATCCGACCCGATTTCCGTGCACACTTTGTGGTAAAGAATTTAAATTCAGAACAAACCTTGAGGCCCACATTTCCATTTCCAAAGTTTCACGACGGAGAAGGCGTACCGGTGTACCACCTGTGGGAGGCGTTTCTCATTTGCAAACAACTTAACAAGACACGAGGTACAAATGCATAAATGCATTGTGAAGAACTTGAAATGAAGAAACAATTTAGGTATGTAGCCACTCATATTTACATAAACATTTCGTTATTTTAAAGGTTACACATTTGGAAAAATTTCGTCAGAGGATTTTCAAGTGTGAACTTTGTGCTCAGACTTTCTTCCATAAAGCTCACTTACAAAGGCATATCCAAGTTGTGCATGAAAATCAGAGGAATCATCCGTGCACATTTTGTGGCAAGAGATTCTCGACAGCAACTAATATGAGAATCCACGTGGAGGCGACGCACACCGGAAATGCGGAGAAGATTCATTCCTGCCACAAATGTGGCTACAAGACCCATTCGAAAGGAACCTTAGCTAACCACGCGATACGTCACAATCCGGCGAATCGACGAGAATGCTACTTCTGCAAGAAGCAGTTTTTCTACTTTTCGAAATTAGTGATACATACACTGCCGTCGTCACACTCAAGAACAATTATAATGCAGGAAATTTGTTTGTCTGGTGTGATTTTATTATTAGGCCTGCGATACGTACATATACATAAGTATGTACATATGTACCAACCAGTAACCCATCGTTCCCACGGTGGACAGCTTGGACAGCTTGTAGGATTACGATATTTTTCTATCGAGACCAATAAAGCATTCTCATCTTTAGCAACATCCTCCTGAAAATTCTCGATGTGATCATTCTCATATAATTGAATCTCATCCTCCATATGTATTTATTTAATCAGATTTATCCTTTTCATATTATTCTCAGACGGGGATTGTTGTAATAAAAATAAATGTCATGCTTTAGTCCATTTTGAGTCATATTTGTATGCATTGAACTTAATACAATTAACTTATGTATGTAAGTATGTAAAAGAAAACTTAATTTGTCATATTCAAATGCTTTAGGTATTTGCACGATTAATGACCAGAATATTAATGTTTATCAAAATCGGGAAGACGTAAACGATGGTGAGCCCAAGCCTCGGTCCCTTCGCTATTTCAATCGAGCAGGAAGGGCCGAGTGGTGATTAGAATTTATTTCTGGTAATGAGGGTCGCCCCACGTCGCTAGAATCGAGAGGACATACATATGCCACTAACCTCCACTCGCCTGGGGGTTTAACGAGCATTCCTAATTGCTAAGAATTCGTAACCATGATTTTTCAACCCAGGAGAAGGGAGGTGATAAAAATGTTGAAACTTCACTTCACAACCCTTTCGTGGAGACCATTTCAGGCCTTAGACGAAAATTTTGTACCCTTCACTTCCTAAAAATAAACTTGGTCTGAAAGTGACACGGTAATAACGAACCTACATACGCAAGTCGAGCTTCATGCATTGAAGTTAGCAGAAGATGCAACGTTCTCCATAATAAATGCATTGGTTTAAATTAAATTTTGATAGAAATATCCGGTTCGTGGAATAATTTCAACAAGATTATCAAGGAAAAGTGCGGTTTTTCTCTAAGGTAAATTTGTGCATTCCTTGCTCTACATAAGCCAGATTTTGGATGGATCCGACACGAGAAAATGGTTTCAAATGCTCCACATGCTTTAAAACCTTCCGCACTAAATACCGCTTAAAGTGTCACATGGGCACACATAACGCCGTTGTGAAGCTAAAATGTGAGGTAATCGTCCAAATTTGAATATAATATTGTCAAAATTTTAAAATTCAACCAGCCAACGATATACTCATATTAGTGACATTGTTTAGATTTGCGGTAACATCTTCAAAACTCCGAGAACCTTGTCCACTCACATAAAAATGCATCACACCAGCCGGGACCGACCCAGTTGCGACATTTGTCACCGTGTATTTTACACATCCGAAACTTTACGAAGACACATTGATGCCATTCACAGCACGATCGACCGGCCTCGGTTTCCATGCGGGTTTCCTGATTGTGATAAATTCTACCTAACGAAGGATGATGTTTCGGCTCACATAAAAACTCAACATTCCGAGACACCGATCCGATTTCCTTGCACACTCTGCGGAAAAGAATTTAAAACAAGAGCCGAACTTGAGAAACACATTTCCATCCATACGAAGGAGAAGTCCTACGTTTGTTCCACTTGTGAGAGGAGATTCCCAAGCCTGAGCAATTTAAGAAGCCACGAGGTATAAATAATATTTAAGACCCCGTAAATATTTTTTTTAAGTGAAGGAAAAATTCAGCTATTCATAAATGTTTCTTTATGTTTAGGTTACACATTTGGAAAAATCGGCCCGAAGGATTTTCAAGTGTTGCCTTTGTCCCCAGATGTCCTTAACTAGAGCTAACTTACAAAAACATGTCCAAGTTGTACATGAAAATCAGGGGAATTATCATTGCTCATTTTGCGACAAGAGATTCTCGACATTGGGCAACATGAGACTTCACGTGGACGTGAAACATCCCCCGAATCGGGAGAAAATCCATTCCTGCGACAAATGCGAGTACAGGAGTCACTCGAAAGTATATTTAGCCCAACACGTGAAGCGTCACAATCCTGCGAATCGAGGGTGTTACTTCTGCCAGAAAATGTTCGGAAATTTTTCAGGATTAGTGAGACACTGTCGTCTGCATACTTTAGAGGGATAATCCTGGAAATTTGTTGTTGTAATCTTCTGATTATAATATATATTGTGAAAGTAGGCCGACTATGGTTATTTGCAGTGATTTCATTACTAAAATTAAAAAATTAAATTAAAAATTATAATTATTATTACTACAATAAAAATTTAAAAATTCAAGCCATAACATTAATCACAATAAACAATGGTTTGAAATCTGTTACCAGCTAATGAAAGATTACATTGTTCAATTCATTTCCTGTCGATTTACATGGGAATATCCCAAATACAGGTTGTTACTGATAAGATTATGCTCCTAAAAATTTCCAAACAAAGCCCACTGCGTACATAGTTCACTTAATTTTTATACCATAATTTGTACACCTTCATCCTTAACATGCCTCCAACTGTTTTAACAAAGATATTCAGCATCGTGTTAAAAAGGTGCTCATGCTAACGTAAATTTACACATGCCACATTTGCGAGGAGACCTTTTACCTTCATTCACTATAGGATTACATATTTATGTACCACCATCATTCTTCAACCTTCTCTTTCCAAAAATAAAACTGGTCTCATATTTCGAAAAGAAACTTTAAACAAGTTTAGTTTGATTTTAGACTTTCAAGTTAGCTGACGATTTAAGCTTGAAGCTTCGCCACAATTGGGACATTTTGTCACAAAAAACGGAAAAAATAAATAATTACCTACCACAAATTCGGTGCGAAATTTTGGATGAATTTTAACTAAATCCTTTACTAACAAGGCAGTCCGATTAATCTGTTAATTGTTTTTTTTCAAGTAGGACTTCGAATGGATACACGGCGAGGAAATGAATTGGCATGTTCCACGTGCTAAAAACCGTTCGGCAATAAGAACGACCTCAAACGTCACATGTTCACGCATGACCCTGATGCGAAGGTGAAATGTGAGGTAATCGTTCAAACTTATACGCAACATTAATAAAAATAACTTTAAAATTCAGCTAAGCAAATTCATAATTTTCATTCAACCATTTAGATCTGCGGGAAAATTTTGAAAAACCCACTAACCTTATTCATCCACGTAAGAATTCTTCTCACCAAGCGACACCAACCCAGATGTGACACGTGTCACCGCGTATTTTTCACATCCACAAGTTTATGAAGTTTATGAGTTTCGGTACATAAAAAAACTGAACACAGCAAAAATCCGGCCCGATTTCCGTGCACCCTTTGCGGTAAAGAATTTAAAATCAGAAAAGACCTTGAGACACACATTTCCATGCATACGACGGAGAAGGCCTACGTTTGTTCCACTTGTGGGAGGAGCTTCTCACATGCAAACAGTTTAAAACGGCATGAGGTATCAATTAGTAAACATTTTGTGGGGTGAAATTAGAATTTAGCTTTTCGCCAAAACGCGTTTGTCTCACAGGCTACACATTTGGAAAAGTCCATCAGGAAGGTGTTCAACTGCGAATTTTGTCCTCAGGATTTTTCCTTTCGAACTAGTTTACAAAGACATGTCCAGCTTGTGCATGAAAATCAGAGGAATCATCCGTGCACATTTTGCGACGAAAGGTTCTCGACATCGACCAATATGAAACGTCACGTGGAGGCGAGACATCCCGCGAATATGGAGAAGATTCATTCCTGCGACAAATGTGAATTTGCGACTCATTCGAACGCAAATTTAGCTCACCACGTCAGGCGGTACAACCCTGCGAATCGACGAGAATGCTATTTCTGCCAGAAGCAATTTTTCTATTCTTCGAAATTGATGAGACACTTGAGACGCCATACTCTAGAGCATTAAGGACTGAGGGAGTTTATCTCTGGTCCTGTCTGATTTTATTATTGGGCCGGCTGTGCTTGTCTTGTAATTTAAATTTGAATGCGACAAATATTTGCAAAACGTTAATCATAAATACACCTGTAATTAATAATCGTCCGAAATCTGTTAACAGCTTTTCAAAAATGATGTTCTTATTAAATTGATATTTTGTGCCTTTATGTGCATGCAGGTGAATATCCCCAACGCGTGTTCAAGTAATTATTTATGTAATTGATATTCAAAACTCTTGAATAAAGCGGGTTAGTTAATTGTTAGTGCACTGTGTAACGATAAATTTTTACAACGCAACCACTTTGTGTTTACATTATCGTGCTTACACTAATCGACCCCAACGATGCTTATTTTTAGGCCTGTGACGTCACAAGCGATGAGTCACCTAATCCAACGTTAATGTAACGCAGCCATGATGTCGAAATTTTCATCTTCTAGACGAAAGAAACCAATTTTGTAGAACGGTTTTGAATGAAGGCTTCACTTTCTCCAAAGTTCAACCTGATGCTATGACAGGTTGGATGAATACCGAGGTTGAATCGGTAACACGTGAACGTTTTTGACCTTAAATTACTGGTTGAACGGCTTGGAGTGGAGGTCCCGAACATTTTTTATGTGAAAGCCCTATTCTCGAGCTACAAGTCGGCATCGGTGATTTCAACTTTTGTACACTGATTTGACCATGGTGAGGTCAACTTTAGACTACTAGTCTCTCAAAACTTTCCAAACTCCGTCAAAAGTTTTTGGGTGGCGGAGAAAAGATTTTATTTCAGATATCCAAAGCCGAAAAAATCCTTGGGACTTACATAGAGTGACTTAACAGGTATTTCACTATTTTGGATGATTGTTATCCCGAGTCTAGCTTTTAAGTCCTTGGCGTAATCCTGGGTCAAAAGGGCGGTGTGCGATGACGCTGCGTCGTGATGAACTATCACTTTTATGGTGTCCTGGCCATTTAGTTTTGAGACATAAATCTCCAAAAGCGGTTTTAAAACAAAGTCAATATAGTACTTCGTAGTTACCTTCACTTTTTGTGGAACTTTGATAAGTGGGAGGACACCACGATCAGATAATGCACCTACCACCATGAACTTGTTGCAAAAGTTTTCCGTGTGCGGCATGGGCAATCTTCTGGAATTATTTTCTCCTTTGGTTGTATAGTAAATTTTTCTCTGACTGTTGGTATCTTGTAAGGAAAATAATTCTTCATCCAACGACACTAAAAAGCCACTTTTATCTTTTGTCAGGTAATTCACATAAATTTTTTTTGCAGGTCAGACGACGATTTTGTTTATGCTTCTCAGTCAGCTGATTGACTTGGATTTTTCTTCTTTTTGGCTGCCCCAAAATTTTAATTGCTCGACGCACACTAGTCTCTGACACTTTGGTTAGACGTGCCACTGCTCTCTGGGGTGGTGAGTTGCCCTTAGAGGTCAATAGGTCAATTTTCTTAAGCACGGGCCTAATTAGCACTTTTCGGACTCGTGTTTGAGGCATCATGGTTTTCCTTTGGTACGAGCTTGTCGTTATTGACCTTCATTTTTAAGTACCTTATGTATCTGGCCTTTCGAAACTTGTTGTCCTTGAGTTTTGAAGTGGTTACTTATGTATGTGTACGAAGAATTAGGTTTGGAAAGTGTTTTTATGGTACCCTCTTACTCTAAAGTCAATGGTCGGGTCATTTTTGAATCTAGAGAGCTAATTTTTTGCTCAGCCCTTGTCAACAATCACATGTCGTTATGCTCAAAATTTGGAACCGAAACTCCAACCCGTTTCGGAGCAATTCAAGATCGCCCGCGTTCACGTGTTACCGATTCATCCTGTAATTTTGTTAAATTGTACATTTTTATAATCCTGATACTTGTACATGTAATTGCAAATCGTCTGTTTGAAATTTCTTTCGACATGACATTTTACCTAACCCAATAAAAAAAAATTAAAATCGATGTGAGCGAAAGTTTTCTGGGTTTGGCAAACTCGATTCACGAGCGCCTCCCTTTGGACTGTGATATCTTTTGAACCATTAATTGCACAAATGTGCTACTTATACCTACATGATTCTATTGAAATTGCCCTTCAGAAAAAAACTTCGTTCATTAGCTATTGCTGCTCGTTTCACTAAAAATCCCTACACCTTTATCTAACGCTCAAAAAACGGCCTCATAGATATACTACTAGGGCATCCAGACCCGGTTTTTCCGATTTTGTAAAACCGGTTAAAAGCCGGTTTTCGATTTACCCGAAAACCGGTTAAAAGCCGGTTTTCGATTTACCCGAAAACCGGTTTTATCATTTTCCAAAAAACCGGTTTTGTAAAAAACCGGTACAATTAAGTCAATTACGTGTACTTGTCTCAATTATTTTTGCTGCTGTAGCCTTATTTCAAGATTAGCGCTGACCGTAAAAACCGCAACATCGTGCACTACGAACACCATGATAGGATTTTAAAAAGTATTATATGCTTACTTAATCAAATTAAATCTATCATGCGCAACATTTAGTTTCTTGACAATAAGGCATTCCGAAGCACTCAATTACAAATTCCTATATAAAGGGGAGTATTGAGACAAAATGTCATATTTATGCAATTTGTCCGTCGTATTTGTCATAAATGTCGGACATATTTATTGGAGGTGTGACAAATCGGACAAATTAACAAATATGTCATGTATGACAAATATGGCATATATTCGCTTGACACGGACAATATCCACCCTTATTAATATTACATAAACAAATTGCATCACACGGCCGCCGTTGCGATCTTGCCCCGGTTACCAATTTCCAAGATCGGGCACTGCTACCACCCCCGTCAGCATTGACACTATTTATGAACATGCTACACATTATGTGACACCGGCTATGCTTTGAAATACATACAGACATATGTATGTATGCTGTCTGGACTGGAGTATGCATGGTATCAGTAAAGGAACTCTGCACAGGTAGTTTTCCTTAAAGCCATTGAACTCGTACAATTCATTACACGGATATAAATAGACCAAGGGAGATGGTTCATTTGTTTGGAAAGTTCGGCTGGTCAGTCCCCTTCAAGGTTTACACTGGTTCTGGCAACTTGTAGATCATAATATATTTTTATAATTGTTATAATAATAAGTAATTACAGTGTAAGTTATAGTAAAATAATAAGTTGTTATATAACAGTGTTGAAAAAACTCAATAATTTTGAATAATGAATTCCAACAACTCATCGGCGTCTGGACTACCTGACCTTGACTCATACAAAGGTACGGAATTTATTGAAAAAAATGGTTTGTATAATGGAAGTGTGATCTATCATGGAACGAACTTGACTATCAAGATTTTTCACTTACGAGGAGATTTTATAAAATGCACTAAAATGATTGCAGATCCGCACTCTCTATCTTTTAGTAGTTTAACGCGGATCTCTCACTCATTTAAATTAAAAAATGTGTTGCTTGGAAAATAAAATGCACCGCTTCGTTGATATGAAAGAAACTATGAATCATTTTTGGTGCGGGGGTAACGTCACGTTTTAAAATCGTTACAAGTTTATCGTGCTTAAATTTTCAAACTACCCTCACAATCTGTACGTAGAATACTTGGACAATTTAGATAAATTGCCCTAATTTCATTAACTTCTTGTCTACCAAAGTACACACACTTGTGCAGCATTTTACTTCCCGTCAACGACCAAGTACACAAATATGTATGTGTACTGTAAAATTTCCTTAACACCAAAATATCTCAAAAAATAATATTTCTTCCGTATTTTATAAAAAAAACTCTATGGTGAATTTTTTCAAAATTTTTCTTCAAAAATTATGAAATTTTCTCTGTATGTACTAACCAATGTTGAAAAGTAAATTTTTTGTGTTCTTCGCGAATAAACTCGAAAATTGGAAACTGGGTTCGGACTTCTGTAACTTTTTACATGGAACTTATCTTCATTCGTCGGTTGATGAAATTCATCTGCTTTTTCAAAATTTCGGAGGAAAGTTTTATCCTTTCTGTACCCTAATTTCGTGGTACGGGTGGCAATCGTTAATTGGTGTGGACGCCTTTGCAAGAGGAGGGGATGATGAACCACAACGATCAATTTCGTCAAAATTTATTACTCATAAAATTCGAATAGGGAATGTTTTTGTCTCGAATTCGGTCAACTCTGAGATAAATAATAATCATGATAATACTTACAATGCGATGGTGTGAGGTGGTTATCGCCGATATCCACCGGACTAATTTTTAATTGTTCACGCTCAAAAATAAGTGGACCCGTATTTTTTCGTTTTCCTGAATGGGCATGTTTACGCCCTTGGCGGAATTTTCAAAAAAAATTTAGCCAAAATTCGGATTTTTAAAAACGCTGTAACTTTTCGAATTTCAACCCGATTTCAAAAAATAAATCCATTTTTTGTTCAGAATTACATACCTGAAAACATAAAAATTCATTTTTAAAAACCTTGTAATTTTCAAAAAATTATCTTTTTTTGGGTTTCTAAAAATTCAGAAATCGCATGAAAATATCAAATTTTTAAAATTTTTTTAAATGAATTTTTACATTTTCAGAGATGTAATTCTGAACAAAAATTGGGTTTGATATTGGATTGCAGAAAGCAACTATCTGGGAGTGTAATGGTGAAAGAAATTTCAAAATCCGAGTAAAATTGGATTTTTGGCGTGGATTTGAATGAGTGAAAACTGGAGTGAAAGCGTTTTTTGGACATTTTTGAGTGGGTGTGGCGGGCGCAAATGGGGCCATGGAGTCAAACCACTTCAGGGTTTTAGTTCACTCATGGGACCCTACCACATATCCAAAGGGCATCAAGATCTGTTATTATCAACCTCGCAAGCTCCCCTCCTAAGTTAAGTTAGCAGGCACACGTAATTTGTTCAATTTAATTAAATCTTTAGTTCTAGCATGACGGTGAAAATTACATTACTTGCCAAGAATAAATCTGACTTTCGTTCGGCACCACGCGAAGCCAAAAATTCGCAACCCGGGTAACAGATTAAAAAAGACTAGATTAAGAGAAATTTAATAATTTAATCAGAACAAATTATTTTTTATTCGACCAAATTAGTATGCACAAAAGCATGAATCGCAGGAATATTTTAAAAATCATGTATTTTGGCTAGCATGTCAAGGAGCCCACAATTTTATTAAAAATTATTTACCAGGCAAACAAAGAAATTTTGCGGAATCACGTGCAAAAATTAATGAAGGCCTTAAAGTGCCTTTTTCGTTTATGTCTACATTACCTACGTACATATGTAGCTGCTTAACCACTTGCTCCTGGTTTCGCAAACTACTTGGAACATGAGTATATACATATGTATATGCATATTTATATATACATATTTTTCGGGCAATTCCCAGCGCGAGCTCAACTTCGTGCGTTTTTGCGAACTTGCGGCGCCCATAACGTGCTGAAATTTGCGCATGTGGGCAAGTGCCAAGCCAAATGTTGTTTCTAAAGACTTTCTCTTCCAAACTAACATGGTCAAAAAATTATCTGCGCTGAACATGGTTTGCGCCTCCATTGTTAGTAATTTTTTTCGTTGTTAGGTATTTGCCTCACTAACAATGCGATGGTGTGAAGTGTAACCCTCCGATTTGGCTTAAATTTTAAAATTAGGTGGTCCAAGCCAATACAACTAACGTTTCTTCAGGCAGTTTGTGCGATGGTGAGAGTTACTCAAAATATTTGAGGTCAAAGTTCAAAAAACGGGCGACTTTTTTCAGGCGGAGTGAGAAAACTCCACTTCCAGTCTCTTCCCTTCGCTTTGATTTTCCCTCCGAAAAATAATTCATTTCAACAATTTTAAATTTAATTTTTTTTGTAGAAAAATATTAATTATTCATTGTACATGTGACCATATGATTATTTTCATAAAAGTCCACAAAACAATACGATAAACTGCACCAGCTGAATTTGATGAATGTGGGATTGCCACAATTCAGGTCGCAACTAATATTTTTTTTCTCTAAAACAAACGTCGTTTACATTTTTAAACTCGGGCTTTTCGTCATCACCCCATAATCCGCTCGAGTACCAACAATATCGAATCATTGGAACAAACACAGGAGCACTTAAAATACAAATTAATTGGAATAACCAACGCGTTCGAAATGGAAAGCAAGTTACGTTTTTCCATGTTTATGTAAATTTGTACTAGAAATAAGTAAAAATCGCACTTATTTAATTATGAATTAAATTATGTAGAATGCGTATTAATTGCTTTTTAAGCTGTAGTTAATAATTTTTATTTTTTATTATTTTGCATCAAAGCCTGTGCTTGTGCATGAAGGCGTATGCGTGAGCGAGACACCTGCAAATCAAAGCGAGGGGAAGAGACTGGAAGTGGAGTTTTCTCACTCCGCCTGAAAAAATCGGCCGTTTTTTGAACTTTGACCTCAAATATTTTGAGTAACTCTCACCATCGCACAAACTGCCTGAAGAAACGTTAGTTGTATTGGCTTGGACCACCTAATTTTAAAATTTAAGCCAAATCGGAGGGTTACACTTCACACCATCGCATTGTAAGAAAAACTTGAACATGCAGCCAATCCGACCCGATTCCCGTGCACGCTTTGCGGTAAAGAATTCAAGGGTAGAGGCAAACTTGAGATGCACATTCTCACCCACACGACGGAGAAGGCCAACAGTTGTCCAACTTGTGGGAGACGCTTCTCACATATTACCAGTTTACATAGGCATGAGGTAGAAAGAAATATTCCTCGGAAATATTTTGTTGGGCAAAAAATTTAGGAACAATTAAGCTATCCATTTGGAAATGTTTATTTTTTTACAGGCTACACATTTGGAAAACCAACCTCCGGGTCTACCCGGAGGCGCTTCAAGTGTGAACTTTGTCCTCGAATCTCCTTAAGTAGAGCTGACTTACAAAAGCATGTCCAAGTTGTACATGAAAATCAGAGAAATCATCCGTGCACGTTTTGTGACAAAAGATTTTCAACATCGTCTAATATGAGACGCCACGTGGACGCGAGACATTCCGGGAATAACGAAAAGATCCATTCGTGCGACAAATGCGAATCCAGGAGCAACTGGAAAGAAAATTTGGCACACCACGCGAGGCGTCACAATCCTGTGAAACGACTAGAATGCTACTTCTGTAAGATACAATTTGCCCACTTTTCAAAACTGGTAACACACAGTCGTGGTCATACTCTGGAACATTGATAATCCCGGAAATTTTTTGTTGCTTTTGGCCGATTTTATTATTTGGCCGGCGATTAGCTTACATCAAAATTCCACAAATATTCCTAAAACGTTGATCATAATAAATAACCGTCTAAAATCTGTTGACAGCTTTGGAATGTCCATTTATGGGAAAAAAATATCTGTAAATTTAATTAAGGATGTAATTGTGTTTCTCAAAATCTTGTGCATAAAACGGAATAAGTAGTTAATTAATTACTATAAATATTTCAACCTCTATTTCCAATATATGTACATAAAAGCTCCTGGTACCATACAAATGCTACAATTTTAATTTGATTTAAAGGGTTGGCCCCAGAAATTGTGGCAAGAACCATAAAAACAATAAATTTCAGATTAATATAATACCATTGAAATTCCCCGAAATGCATGTTTTTTAGTTTCGTGATTTTTGTTTGCTCTGAACTATTTATGAGGCCTGAAAATAATTTATTCATGCCAAGAATATGGAGAAAATTAATGCATGGGATAAATGCGAGTACTTGAGTTACGCGAAAAACAATTTAGCATGGCACGCGAGGCGTCACAATCCTGCGAATCGACGAGAATGTTACTTCTGCAAGAAGGAGTTTTTCTACTTTTCGAAATTGGTGTTACACGTCCGTCGTCACACCTTGGAATATTGATTATTCAGCAAATTTGTTATTTCTCATGTCTTTTATTATTATTAGGTTTCTTAAACCTTGTATGTACCTATTTAGTTATGTATCTTATTGCGCCCTATTAAATATTTAAAAATTCAACAAGTACTTCTAAACCGGTGATCATAATATGTAAATCGTCATTTGATATCTGTAAACAACTTAATGCTTTAAAATACTACATATGTGTGCAAAATTACAAGTCGAAACACAATTTAGCCCAACACGCGAGGCGCCACAATCCTGTGAATCGAGAAGAATGTTACTTCTGCAAGGAGCAGTTTGCCTACTTTTCGAATTTTATGAAACACTGTTGTCGTCACACTTTAGAACAAATTTAATCGTTAAGCTTGTTGTTGGTCTTATCCGATATTTTAATTAGGCAGGCGATATGTACATACGCATGTAGGTACTTCTCTTACTTACAACAAATTAAAATTTAAAAATTTCTGCAAAACTTAACTATTTCTAAAACCTTAATCAAAATAAATGCTCGTCTGAAATCTGTCTACAACTTCTGAAAAATGACATTTCTAACATGAATTTCATGCCATTGATTTATCTACACGGGAATATGAATTTCCGAACATCCCAATCACTTCCATGTAATTATTGATGATAAATGTGTATCTAAATGTATTGATAATGTTATGTATGTAGGTAATTTCTCGAAGTTTTAAACCTTTATACCACTAGGTCTCATATAAATTCTCGCCTGAATTTAAAAAGTGTCCACCCCTACGAACATTGCACAGCTTTAGTCCCCTAGTGACTATTACCCATTTCGACAAAGACCTCAGGGGGAGGAGATATTCAATGATTAATGAATTTAGAGCAGTAGTTTCGATTTTAGTTTTTTACCCCAATTTTTTGCGTATTGGAAAATTAAGCACGTTAAGACACAATTATGCAGAAAAGGATTCATTGCCTTGGTTGGTGGCTGGTGGCGTATACTTGAACGGTTTCATCGCTATTTCCGTCCAGGGGGAAGGGAGAATATGTCAACTTTGTGTGCGAATTTTTTTATTGGAGTTATTTGGGGCCGCTACAATTGAGTGTCTACATAACTGACCAGCACTCGCTTGAGAATTTTAACCAATAATGTTAATTATTAAGAATTCTTAACAATTGTATTTAAAGCCAAGGGTAAGGATGATTTCAGTGATGGCATACATTTGGCAAGTCCTTCACTCGCCTCAGGATTCCCACCAACACACAATAGGCCAGGAGCTGCGACGGTGCGGACAAAGGAAAGGGGGGATAACGAGTTCTTCTCTAATTCCTCTACCAAAAAACAGTCCAAAAAATGTAGATTATTTTTAATATAACAACTGTGTCATTTCGTCTGCCCCCCTTTGAGATATTTGAGTTCAAAGTTTGTTTACTTTTTCCAAGGTGAGCCAATAAAAAGTTCACAATACCCCAAGTCATATGGTGGCAGCCGGAATAATACTTTTTTGGCTCGCCTTGGAAAAAGTAAACAAACTTTGAACTCAGTCTCCCGATGTGATTCTGATTGTCCGGGTTGAGAAAAGAGGAACTGATGGGAAACCACTCGTCGAAAAACGAGCTTGTCAAAAGTTCGGAAGAAGTTTTGGCAGCCATATAGAAAAGCGTTATAAAGAAACTTGTGGAATCCATTCCACGGCCAATTTATGCTCTTATTGCGTCGAGGGGAGGTGCCACGTAACATTAGAAGCAGTGTGACGTAATAAAATTGGCCATTCTTTGATTTCTGATTTTATAAGTTATAGGGTGCCAATACTTTTTGCGGGTTAATTTTACATATTTTCCAACAAATTATTTAAAAACTGTGTTTATCCAATTTTAATCAATAAAACATGATTATAATCGAACACTACATTAGATTTGCTAAATGTGTACAAAGTTTAATGCTAATTTGATAATGCATTCCAAAGTTATAGGCAATTTTATGTAGCTTGCGTGGGTGGTGCCTATACTTGTTCCATTGACTGTAGATCTGCGGGAAAATTTCGAAAAATCCACTGCTCTTATCCGTCCACATGAAAATGCTTCACACCAACCGGGACCGACCAAGTTTTGACATTTGTCACCGGGTATTTTCCAGTTAACAAGCTTTACGAAGGCACATCGGTGTGGTCCACACCGCGTTGAAACGACCTCGTTTTCCATGTGGTTTTCCTGGATGCGGGAAAACCTACTTGAACAGGCACCATGTCTTCCGACACAGAAAAACTGAACATACCAAAAATCCGACTCTGTTCCCGTGCACACTTTGCGAGAAAGAATTCAAAAACAGGCAAGACCTTGAGAGCCACATTCCCACCCACACGACGGAGAAGGCCCACGTTTGTTCCACTTGTGGGAGGAGCTTCGCCCAACGGTCAGCAATGAAACGTCACGAGGTACGAAGAAATTTAATTCATAAATTTTGTCGGATAAAATGAAAAATTATTAGCTAATTATTAACAGCATTCATGAATGTGTCATTGATTCGCAGGTTACACATTTGACAAAATCTACCCGCAGGATTTTCCAGTGTGAACTTTGTCCTCAGATGTCCTTAAGTAGGACTGCCTTACAAAGACATGTAAAAATTGTGCATGAAAATTGGAAGAATCATCGGTGCACATTTTGTGACAAAGGATTCTCGTCATCGGGCAATCTGAGACAACACGTGGAGGCGAGACATCCCGCGACTAGGGAGAAGATTCATTCCTTGTGTGAATTTAGGACGCACTCGAAATTAAATTTAGCCCTTCACGCGAGGCGTCACAATCCTGCGAATCGACGAAAATGTTACTTCTGCAAGAAGCATTATTTCCACTTTTCGAAATTGGTGGAACACTGTCGTCTTCATACTTTGGAATATTGCTAATCCTGGAAAATGTTGCTGTTTTTTCTGATTTGATTAATGTTTTTAATGCACGTATGTGTGCAAATACATACGTACATAAACACATACCTACATATCTTATTACGCAAAATAAAAAAATTTCAATTGGATTAATGTGTCCAAAGCGTTACTTATAGTAATGTAGGCAGGGCCCGGGCTGGGTATATTTGCGCCCTAGGCAAAATTTTTCTTGCGCCCCTAACTTTCCTCATGAGATAAATTCCCTGTTAAAAATTTACAATTATATACTATACATTTCAACAGCAATTTACATTATTTTATTGTTGCTCAACAATTATTTTATTGTTAAAACCTATACTCGAACTGAAAGTGTAAATGATTAATCTCGCGGAAATGCAAATTTGTATCCAAAAGGTTCAAAACTTGAAAGAACCAAGAAATTAAACCAAACATTACCAGAACTTCACTCAGAATACGATACTTTGAAGTGTGATACTCCGATTTTGTTGAAATCTTGAAATTGTACAGTTCAAATCAATACAACGAACTAACGTGATTAATGTAACTAGCTATAGTCTTCCCTCAGGGCTTGATATTAAAGTTGAGGGATTTACTCGGGAAGTACATGACCAATTAAAAGAAACAAATATGGATAACTATAAATAATTGATAAGTGGCTACGGCTTTTCCGATGTGGATGGTTTAATTCGCATTCGAATTTAAATTTAAAAATTTCTGAATTGTTAAAAAAACAATTTTCTCCAAAAAGTAAATATAAAAAAATACGAAGAATCCAGTGGGGTTTGAACCCACCTGAGTTTCAAATTTTTGTTTTGAACGTTGGAGTTGGCGCAGTGTTTCTATTTCTTGCAGGGTACAGAAAAACCGAGGGTTTCAATAAAAATAACAAGGGGGTTTAATTGGTTTTGATAGGTTTTTTGGGTTTCATTAGGTTTTCAAGGAACTAAGGTAATAAACTCAACAAAATAATCCTAACATGAAAGACCACATTTGAGAAAATTAATTTGATTTTTGACACCTGTACTTTCGAAGAAAGAGATTCATTTTCGTATCACGCTTAAATACGAAGGCATTGTCCAAAAACCCGAGTTTGTTGGAAAACCCGATGCCTGGGGCTTTCTCTGAGACTCTCGTGTGCTTTTACAATATTTTTTTTCGGGGGAGGGAGTCAACAAACTTTCTGAAAATAGATACAGTATGTAGCATATTTAGTGCTACGATGACATAATTTTTATATCGCCATCATCTTGCTACTTGTAAAATTTCAAGCTCAATTTCAAGCTGTGCAAAAATCTCAAAAGCATATACGGACAATTTGCTCGTCGCCAATTCTTAATATCGCAGACAGGTAAAAGGTCACGATTATTTTCCTGAACGAATTTGAGACGTCGAAAAAACAACCTCGTGGATATTTTTTTAAAACTTTTTTAGTATTGTTCTAATATTTTTTATCGGATCCGAAGGAAAATCCGATATTGAAAATCCGATCCGATTTGATAGAAAATGAGCTTTGGTTGGACCGTGTAAGATTTTTTTGACACGCACAGGAATTTTTCGCCAAGGACAGGTGTGAGGTCTAAAATCGCCACCGCGACGAAAATTCGAAAACTTAAATATAAGTTTGAATACAGACAGGCTGGATATACAAATGTATGTTTCAGTTTTCGAGTTTTCGCCGCGGTGGCGATTTTAGACCTCACACCTGTCCTTGGCGAAAAATCCTGTGCGCGTCAAAAAAATCGTACACGGTCCAACCAAAGCTCATTTTCCTTCAAAACGCATGTCGGATGCAATAAAAAATATTAGAAAGTTAAAAAAAATATCCACGAAGTTTTATTTTGACGCCTCAGATTTTTTAGAATAAGAATAGTGGCCTTTCACCTGTCTCCAAAATTAAAAATTGGCAACGAGGAAATTGTATAAGTACTTTTGAGATTTTTGGAAGGAGTTTGCAATTTTACAAATAGTGAGATCATGGCGATATACAAATTATGTCATCGTAGCATTAAGTGTGTTACATACTGTATAATGTGCATGATATTAAAAATGTTGATACAAAGTTCTACAAATACCTAGATGGGCCACTTAACTTGTGAAATTTCCAACAATTTTTCTTAGCCACAAATGAATTTTTTTATGATAATTAATTTGCTCGATACGATGCCCCTTAGTCTCAGCTTCAAGTCTGAACCGCTTTTTCCTTGATGAAAACATCTCCAGCCACTTTTGAGGAATTATTTTTAACCACTAGTCCTGAAAAAAGTCCATCTCAAGTAGTAGCTAATTCGTACATTTTCTCCACGACGTACAACAAACTGACCTTGTCGCGTTCAGGTCATCTACCCTGAACAAAGCTTGGTCGATTGTGACCACAGGTTCGTCCCTACCTCCAGCAAGGTGGTTCTTGCACAGCTTTTTTTGCAAAAAGTATGTAGCAATTAGTGATGTGACGCACGTTTAACTCAGGTAGTTTTATTTTCTGTTTCTGTTTATCTGTTTCATTTTGTCCAAATCTCTTTTAATGACCCTTCGAATAGTTGTGAAATTCGATTTTAGTAGTTTGCCCAACCTACGAAAGCTTTTTGGGGTTTCCTAGTCAATCAAATGGTTGAGCTTCGTTTATAGCTCTTTTGCCATAATTGTAGGGAGCGTTTTTTAAGGGGTGTAGGCAATACCTGATTAATTGCTTGCTTTCTCACGCATTCTCTACTTAATATTCAATGAATTGAGGCCACAGAAATTTTAAGTCCACGTGCATGGACCCTTTTTTGATCGCACTTCCGGTGCAACCCTGGCTGGAAAACTTTGTCACTAGTACATACCTCCACTTAAAATGATCAGGGAGGAGCAGTTTTTCAGATTTTCAAGTAGAAAAAAATTACAGTTTGATCTAATTGGTTTGCATATCAAACAGTGTAGGCCGGGTTTATTTAAGTTTTGCCAGTTTGTTCGCGCGAGCGTTTGAAAATTTCTCAAGTTAAGTGGCCCACCCTCTGTAATACGAAGTCCTCAAAAAACTCTCGAAAAAAGTTGTAAGGACAAAAATTAGGAAATACATGGCAAAAACCGTTGTCAAAAATATTGACTCGCCTTTGAGTTGCAAATCGCAGACGGGAGCGATTTTTCCAACTTTCGTTTTCTCCCACTGCTTGAAGTGGCCGAAAGAAATTGAAACGAAATTTGAGGTGTGAAATGATTCCGGTTTTTATTATTGTCACTCATGATACCAATTTTATTTTCTACAGGCAAAAAAATACACATGCTCAGGTCCTTTTCAAATTTTATTATACTATATGTACATGTTCCTTCAGAAAATTTAGTACATAGTTCACAGGAGTGTGTACTGCTGGCAGAAACTGATCAAAAGTCCTCACTTTGAAATTTCGTGACATTTTAATTTTTAATAAATCAGTTATGTTTTTCATAGACAACGCCCGATCATGCCCATATGTTTGCTGGGGCATTATCGTGACGGCGCTCATCTGATGTAATTTTTCATTCAATACATAAATATTTCGAATGCTTTCCGTGCCAGAATTGTTGCAAGGGGAATTTAGATCAATAAAGTTTTCTGGACAAATGTAGATTATTTTACTATCCATGCTAAAATTCAAGATTACACTCACCAGGGGTGTTTCGCAGGGAACCAGAGGCGATGTAAAGTAGGACATCAAAACTAAGAATATTTTTCTAATCGAATTTCGATTATTTCGATTTTTTAAATATTGAAATAATCAGGTTTCATTCTGTGAAAAAGGGGTATTTAACCTCGCGAATTACACTAACAATAAATTAACTCTCTAATTTTTTGAAGACTGAAATAAATGTGCGTGTATATGTATGTATGTAAACCTTCGGATGCCTCGCGGCACCTAAAAGTTGCCCTCTCCAATTTTGGGGCCTGTTAATGGAATCATTTTTTCGCATCTTTGAACTCACGCTAACGTTCCAAAAGTTCAGGTCTATGAGAACTCCAGGTTTTGTCCGGAAAACTGTTAAAGTTCGTGCCTCACTCTCATATGTTATCAGCATACGTCGGATATGAATGAAAAATGAGTTTTTCCATTTATCGACCTACAGTCGCCAAACTTTCTGAGAATGTTTATGGTCACTAGTAGGTCACGTATGTCAAAACATATTTTCTCATATTGGTCATATTTTCGGGTTTTGGGACATATTCATATTCCCGATCATATTTCGGGGTTTTTTCGTTCATTTTATCATTTTTGACCAAATTCTAAGATTTGGCAACCAAATCGACAGAAAATGACAAGAAATTAAGTTTTCTCACAATGATGAGAAACTTTCAGAAATTGACGTTCACTTTCGCCTAAGGTGATATAATTCATTGGGAATGAATTAAATCACTCCAGAACTTGTTTAATTGATAGAAATTGAGCATTACAAGAAAATATATCAAAAATTAAGCCAAACATTCAAAAAATAGAGTCATTTTTGTTGTCATATTTTGGAGATTTTTAAGGTCATTTTTCATTCATATTTTGAGGTTTTATCATTCATTCATATCCGACGTCTGGTTATCAGCAGCGCCTCAGCGCCCTGGGCAACTGTTCCCTCACGGGCCCAGTAAGAACTCCATGAATTAACTTATTTGTATATGTGCTCCGAAAAGCTTTTGGGATAAGAGATACATTTCTGTGAACTTTTAAACCTGTTTTTACAGTTTGCATATAAATTTGGACTAGTTTGGTTAACATCAATTTATTTCTGAATACAGGAATCCTTTGTGCGCCTTTGTATAAACAAGTACCTTAGGGCGCCTAGGGGCGCCCTCAGAATTTGACGTTCTGAGCAATTGCCCTCTTCCAAATTTCGGGGCCTGCCTGTAGATGACAATATTTGTTTGTCAAAAACTATGTGATGCAAAAAATTAAGCTAAAAAGTTTATCAAATAGTCCTCAGACCGTTTCACATTTTTTAGAAGTTTTTCTACTGACCATTCTATCTTCACGAATATAAGAAAATCATTTATTAATTTTCCCAAATGTCGTTTTTATCTAGTGTACAGCCGGGCGCCTCACGGCGCCCTTGAGGATTTGGCGCCCTAGGCAGTTGCCTAGGTCGCCTTACCCTTAAACGGGCCCTGAATGTAGGCAGCGTACAACCTCGACGATCATGAGGGTTGAGGATACTATCGTTCATTTGGAAATATGCTATAATAATCTCCCCCATTGTGCTGAGAAGAACGATATGTCACTCGACATGGTTTTGTTAGAATTGGTAAGTCGCTGATGACCACACCCACTGGGGGTGTGGTTTCCAAATTTTAATTATGCTATAATAATCCCCCCATTGTGCTGAGAAGAACGATATGTCACTCGACATGGTTTCGTTAGAATTGGTAAGTCGCTGATGACCACTCCCACTGGGGGTGTGGTTTCCAAATTTCAATTATGCGGTTGAGATCCCCTCACTAAGCTGACAAGAATGATATGTCGCATGACGTACTTTAGTTGGGAATTCGCAGAAGCGCCAATGGCCACACCCCTTTGTCGCCAGGGGGTCAACGATAACATCCTGTCGTTCGGATGGGGTGCATCATCAATATTATGTCTAATGGCGATCTTGAATTCCGAAAATCACAGCGCTAGGAATTTTTTTCTACTTTAAGTGGTTGAATTTGTCCTTTGACCACTCCCACTTTGACTTGTAATGAGGGGGTGCGGCCAGATAATCGCTGGATACGATGACCTGACTATCCGCCAAGAATTGTATCCAGATCTTTCGAAACCCGACGTAGAATTTCGAAATTCGATACCAAAGTGTCACTTCATTTTTTTGACCTGGTGACCTGGATAACCGGTGGGTGGGGTCAAATTTCAAAAATCTGAAAATATATATTTCGCGCAAGGGTCCAAGGTTTCCAAAACGGGCGCCATTTTGAAAATCCATCAACAACTGACCGAGCAATTAATTTCGAAACTTCACATGTTATTACTTATGGAGAGGTCGGCCATTTAGCCTTTCATCTTTATTAACATTGGCCGATGTTCTACCTTTTCCAAATGGACCATAGCACGAGCTATCGTTCCCACTTCGCATGGTTGGGATACGAACGCGGGAAGCAAATTTTGGTCGAGGTTGTACGCTGACCAAAATTAATATTCATCCGACATCTGTTAGCACCTTCTGTAGAGTGATATCAATTACATGAATTTATTGCGTAATACCCAGGAACATCAATTTTTATGTACTTGTTATTATTAATGAAACTATATCTACTTCTCAAAATTCGTGATGCATCAAGCGGTTTATTCCAGTGATATCATTTTTAAAGCTCTATTTTAAAATTCCAAGTGCTTGGTGTTATAAAAAGGGTCCCCATTGACGAACATCTAAACCATGTGATACATATATATGCACTTGGATCACCGAGTGGAGTGGGTGGAAAGAATGTGTTACTTGACAGAAGGGTTGATTCTAGAAAAAAGTTCACTTGATTTCAAGTGCGCTATTTATAGTCTCGCATGGCTTTTACAAGCCACGTTTCATCCCTGAGCCTTATTCGACTAAAATATATTTATTGTGCAGGTAGAGAGCAGCTTGTGTTCAGTCAATGAGTAAGTCTCCGTAAGAATTATAATAAATATTGCATGGCGGTCCATTTTCTCGTCAGTTTTGAAATTTTAGGAGCAGAATAAGCTTGACAATCGGATAAAGGGCAAATTTCCCTGCACTGGTACGGAATCCAGAAAAGTATAGTTTTACTCCTTCCTTTACGCCTCGATACTTCTAAATTACAGGTTCGGAACCCAAATTGAAATGAGTCTACCAACAGCCAAGGTTCGGAAATGTTCCACCTGCTCAAAATCATTCAAAAGAAAGACGGACTTGGCCCGGCACATTATAACCCACGACCCGGAAGCCAAGGTGAAATGTCAGGTAACAATTTAAATTTAAGACGTATTATTAGCTCGCCCTACGTAGCACGGGAGCTATTGAATTCCTCTTGTCCGTCCGTCCGTCTGGTTGTTAACGACTTTTTTGTACCAATTGATGCTAATTAAACAGCCCCTTGACCAATATTGGATAAGTTGGGCGCACCATTGGTATCAAACAATCCGTGGTGCAAATGGTGCGAAATAATTGGGGGAATCGATGTATTCCGCACCAATGGTTAAAATTATCTGAAAGTTCTTGTTAGTCGTAGCAGACACATCTTAACCTCGAAATAATGTCAAAATTGTATCTCAATTTTACTCATTTCGGCCGCACCAATGGTGCAAAATTTTATCAAATTTCTGTTATTCCCCGCTAATTCTGTACCATTGGTGCAAAATTATATGAAAATTATGTATCTTTTTTGTCGGCTAATTCTGCACCTTTGGCGCAAAGTTATGTACAACTCATTAGAACAGGGTGAGCTACTTCTAACGTTACAACGGTTTATTCAATTTATGATTAATTTTACGATTCTGACCACCCAGTCACCCATGCTTTACCATTTCCTAATATTTAGATTTGCGGGCAAATTATGAAAAATCCACAAAGCTTACACGTTCACATGAGAGTGTCTCACACCAACCGGGAACGACCAAGTTGCGATATTTGTCATCGGGTGTGCTCTTCACATGCAAATTTACGAAGACACATTAGTTCCGTTCACAGCGCGATGAAACGACCTCGTCTTCCATGTGATTTTCCCGGATGTGGAAAAACCTGCCAGAACAGGGATGCCTTATCGAAACACTTAAGAAGTGAACATGCCGAAAATCCGACCCGATTTCCGTGCACGCTTTGTGGTAGAAAACTAAAAACCGCACAAAAATTTGAGGAGCACATTTCCACCCACACGACGGAAAAGGCCTACACTTGTTCCACTTGTGGGAGGAGTGGGTTCACCCAACAAAACGCCATGAAAAAACACGAGGTAGGAGTCAATTTTTCTCGCTAATATTTTGTCGGATAAAATAAAACGGCTAAAAATTTAGCAACTTATAAACACTGGCTTATTTTACAGGACACGCATTTGGAAATTTCGACCCGGAGGATTTTCCAGTGTGAACTTTGTCCTCAGATTTTCTTGAGTGGAGCGGCCTTAGTAAAACATGTGCAAGTTTGCATGAAAATCGGAGGAATTATCCGTGCACATTTTGTGACAAAAGATTGACGACATCAGTCAGTTTGAAACGACACGTGGAGAGAAAACATTCCGCCAGGATTCATTCCTGCGACCATGTGAATTCGCGAGTCACTCGAAAGCAGGTTTATCCCAGCACGCAAGGCATCACAATCCTGCGAATCGACGCGACTGTTACTTCTGCAGGAAGCCGTTGTGCACTTTTCCAATCTGGTGACACATTGTCGTCGTCATACCCTTGAAGGGTGAATATGTAATAAATTATTGTTGCTGTTATTGGATTTTATTGTGAGGTCAGTTAAATATACATATAAATACATACATATATAGTTATCTTATTACGCCAAATTTAATTTTTGAAATTTCAGCAAGTGTTTCCAAATGGTCATCTATATTATAAGCTGGAAATGTTTGTCTGCAACGGAAGTGAAACTAATTTGTCCGCAACGGAAGTAAAAGTGGAGAAAGTCAAGTTTCAAATGGCGCGAAAATTCGAATTAAATTTTTAATTAAAAAAAATAAATACCCCCCAGGTAACCACCGTCTGACAAGCACCCCCAGATAACTACCTCCTGACAACCACTCCCAGATAACCATCTAAGATAATCACCCCCAGATAACCATCTAAGATAACCACCCCCAGATAACCATCTAAGATAACCACCCCCAGATAACCATCTAAGATAATCACCCCAGATGTACGCATAGCACAATACTGTTGTGACCTGAAACAACTCATCGATCTGTGATGAAGTTGTCGGTGCTGAGCTGTGCGCACAGCACAGGGTCGAAGAGTTATGTCATGTTTGAAGTGGGACTATTAAGCTTTGATGTGCTGTTCTGGGCTGTGCGCACAGCACAGGGTCGAAGAGTTGTGTCACGTTAGCAATGAGGCTATTGTGCTGTGACGTGGCACAACTCATCTGTGATTTGTTGTCTGATAGTGGTTATCTGGGAATGGTTGTCTGACGATGGTTCTTTAGGAATGATTATCGTGAGCGGTTGTCTAATAATAGTTATATTGGTTATCATGGACCCTGTACTTTAAAGTGAGGTAAAATTTGGTGGATGTCACTTTTGCTTCCATCGCGTGGAACAGTTACTTTCACTTTTCTTTCCAATATACATGTTCAGTTAATAAGAGGTATAATAAAAAAAATAATTCTGCGGAATTATGAACAAAATCCCACTCAATTTTCATGAAAATCAGTTGAGCTCTCGCCCGGCGGGAGACGGGCTTATACGCTAGTGTTAAATAAATAAATAAACCCCATGTTAAATAATCGTTTAAAATCTCTTTACTGGCCCTAAAAAGTTGTATTCCTCCCGTGTATTTTCTGCGCATGTGCGGGGGAATATCACTAACATGCACGCATTAACAATTAGATAAGGAGTACTTGACACTCACACATTGCATTTCAAATGAGAAAGTATGAGAGGAAGATGATCTGACTGATTTGATTGCATACATATTTATGTAATATCCGATTCGGTCCATTCATATTGCTATTTCTGTCCAAGGGAGAGAAAAGGTTGAGTGGTTGTAGGAATGTGCTCAGTGTCAGAAGGGTCGTTTCTAGAAGAAGGTGCACTTGCCTCAAAGGGTTTCTGCCAGGCACAGTTCATCCTTTTGACCTTTCTCTTCCTATAAATAAGTCAAGTAGAGAGGGGTTTGTGTTAAGTGCGTGAATAAGTCAATTTTCCACGGACATAAAATCAGGCATTTCAGTACATTTTCTCCGCAGTTTTGAAATTCTAGGAGAAGAATTGGGTTTATTTTTGGATAACAGAAACTTTGATACCCTGCTTCGTAACCCAGGAAAAGTGACGTTTTGCTTAGAAACTCTTTTGCGTAAACTTGGCACGTATGAATTGCATAGAAGTTGGAAAATTTGGAATTAAAATGGGCTCAACGCAAGAAAACGATTATAATTGTTCCACCTGCTCAACTAAGAAGCAATTAAGCAATCACATTTTAACGCACGACCCAGGAGCGAAGTTGAAATGTCAGGTAATCATGTAAATTTGTTAGACTAATTATAAAATTTCTACCGTTCAAAATTTCACATTTTATACCTTTCGTGCTGCATGCAGGTGTGTGGGAAAGTTTCGAAAAGCTCAAAAGCCTTGTCAAGACACGTGTCAATGTATCACGCCAACCGGGAACGACCAAGTTGCGACATTTGTCTCCGTGTATTTTCCACGGCAAAACATTTACGGACGCACATTGCTACCGTTCACAGCACGCTGAAACGACCATCGTTTTCCATGCGGGTTTCCTGATTGTGACAAATCCTATCTGTCGAAACGCCATGTTTCGAAACACGTTAAAACTGAACACACCGAGAATCCGACCCGATTTCCGTGCACACTTTGCGGTAAAGAATTCAAGACCAGAGAAAATCTTTCAGAATACGATACTCAGAATACGATACTTTGAAGTGTGATACTCCGATTTTGTTGAAATCTTGAAATTGTACAGTTCAAATCAATACAACGAACTAACGTGATTAATGTAACTAGCTATAGTCTTCCCTCAGGGCTTGATATTAAAGTTGAGGGATTTACTCGGGAAGTACATGACCAATTAAAAGAAACAAATATGGATAACTATAAATAATTGATAAGTGGCTACGGCTTTTCCGATGTGGATGGTTTAATTCGCATTCGAATTTAAATTTAAAAATTTCTGAATTGTTAAAAAAACAATTTTCTCCAAAAAGTAAATATAAAAAAATACGAAGAATCCAGTGGGGTTTGAACCCACCTGAGTTTCAAATTTTTGTTTTGAACGTTGGAGTTGGCGCAGTGTTTCTATTTCTTGCAGGGTACAGAAAAACCGAGGGTTTCAATAAAAATAACAAGGGGGTTTAATTGGTTTTGATAGGTTTTTTGGGTTTCATTAGGTTTTCAAGGAACTAAGGTAATAAACTCAACAAAATAATCCTAACATGAAAGACCACATTTGAGAAAATTAATTTGATTTTTGACACCTGTACTTTCGAAGAAAGAGATTCATTTTCGTATCACGCTTAAATACGAAGGCATTGTCCAAAAACCCGAGTTTGTTGGAAAACCCGATGCCTGGGGCTTTCTCTGAGACTCTCGTGTGCTTTTACAATATTTTTTTTCGGGGGAGGGAGTCAACAAACTTTCTGAAAATAGATACAGTATGTAGCATATTTAGTGCTACGATGACATAATTTTTATATCGCCATCATCTTGCTACTTGTAAAATTTCAAGCTCAATTTCAAGCTGTGCAAAAATCTCAAAAGCATATACGGACAATTTGCTCGTCGCCAATTCTTAATATCGCAGACAGGTAAAAGGTCACGATTATTTTCCTGAACGAATTTGAGACGTCGAAAAAACAACCTCGTGGATATTTTTTTAAAACTTTTTTAGTATTGTTCTAATATTTTTTATCGGATCCGAAGGAAAATCCGATATTGAAAATCCGATCCGATTTGATAGAAAATGAGCTTTGGTTGGACCGTGTAAGATTTTTTTGACACGCACAGGAATTTTTCGCCAAGGACAGGTGTGAGGTCTAAAATCGCCACCGCGACGAAAATTCGAAAACTTAAATATAAGTTTGAATACAGACAGGCTGGATATACAAATGTATGTTTCAGTTTTCGAGTTTTCGCCGCGGTGGCGATTTTAGACCTCACACCTGTCCTTGGCGAAAAATCCTGTGCGCGTCAAAAAAATCGTACACGGTCCAACCAAAGCTCATTTTCCTTCAAAACGCATGTCGGATGCAATAAAAAATATTAGAAAGTTAAAAAAAATATCCACGAAGTTTTATTTTGACGCCTCAGATTTTTTAGAATAAGAATAGTGGCCTTTCACCTGTCTCCAAAATTAAAAATTGGCAACGAGGAAATTGTATAAGTACTTTTGAGATTTTTGGAAGGAGTTTGCAATTTTACAAATAGTGAGATCATGGCGATATACAAATTATGTCATCGTAGCATTAAGTGTGTTACATACTGTATAATGTGCATGATATTAAAAATGTTGATACAAAGTTCTACAAATACCTAGATGGGCCACTTAACTTGTGAAATTTCCAACAATTTTTCTTAGCCACAAATGAATTTTTTTATGATAATTAATTTGCTCGATACGATGCCCCTTAGTCTCAGCTTCAAGTCTGAACCGCTTTTTCCTTGATGAAAACATCTCCAGCCACTTTTGAGGAATTATTTTTAACCACTAGTCCTGAAAAAAGTCCATCTCAAGTAGTAGCTAATTCGTACATTTTCTCCACGACGTACAACAAACTGACCTTGTCGCGTTCAGGTCATCTACCCTGAACAAAGCTTGGTCGATTGTGACCACAGGTTCGTCCCTACCTCCAGCAAGGTGGTTCTTGCACAGCTTTTTTTGCAAAAAGTATGTAGCAATTAGTGATGTGACGCACGTTTAACTCAGGTAGTTTTATTTTCTGTTTCTGTTTATCTGTTTCATTTTGTCCAAATCTCTTTTAATGACCCTTCGAATAGTTGTGAAATTCGATTTTAGTAGTTTGCCCAACCTACGAAAGCTTTTTGGGGTTTCCTAGTCAATCAAATGGTTGAGCTTCGTTTATAGCTCTTTTGCCATAATTGTAGGGAGCGTTTTTTAAGGGGTGTAGGCAATACCTGATTAATTGCTTGCTTTCTCACGCATTCTCTACTTAATATTCAATGAATTGAGGCCACAGAAATTTTAAGTCCACGTGCATGGACCCTTTTTTGATCGCACTTCCGGTGCAACCCTGGCTGGAAAACTTTGTCACTAGTACATACCTCCACTTAAAATGATCAGGGAGGAGCAGTTTTTCAGATTTTCAAGTAGAAAAAAATTACAGTTTGATCTAATTGGTTTGCATATCAAACAGTGTAGGCCGGGTTTATTTAAGTTTTGCCAGTTTGTTCGCGCGAGCGTTTGAAAATTTCTCAAGTTAAGTGGCCCACCCTCTGTAATACGAAGTCCTCAAAAAACTCTCGAAAAAAGTTGTAAGGACAAAAATTAGGAAATACATGGCAAAAACCGTTGTCAAAAATATTGACTCGCCTTTGAGTTGCAAATCGCAGACGGGAGCGATTTTTCCAACTTTCGTTTTCTCCCACTGCTTGAAGTGGCCGAAAGAAATTGAAACGAAATTTGAGGTGTGAAATGATTCCGGTTTTTATTATTGTCACTCATGATACCAATTTTATTTTCTACAGGCAAAAAAATACACATGCTCAGGTCCTTTTCAAATTTTATTATACTATATGTACATGTTCCTTCAGAAAATTTAGTACATAGTTCACAGGAGTGTGTACTGCTGGCAGAAACTGATCAAAAGTCCTCACTTTGAAATTTCGTGACATTTTAATTTTTAATAAATCAGTTATGTTTTTCATAGACAACGCCCGATCATGCCCATATGTTTGCTGGGGCATTATCGTGACGGCGCTCATCTGATGTAATTTTTCATTCAATACATAAATATTTCGAATGCTTTCCGTGCCAGAATTGTTGCAAGGGGAATTTAGATCAATAAAGTTTTCTGGACAAATGTAGATTATTTTACTATCCATGCTAAAATTCAAGATTACACTCACCAGGGGTGTTTCGCAGGGAACCAGAGGCGATGTAAAGTAGGACATCAAAACTAAGAATATTTTTCTAATCGAATTTCGATTATTTCGATTTTTTAAATATTGAAATAATCAGGTTTCATTCTGTGAAAAAGGGGTATTTAACCTCGCGAATTACACTAACAATAAATTAACTCTCTAATTTTTTGAAGACTGAAATAAATGTGCGTGTATATGTATGTATGTAAACCTTCGGATGCCTCGCGGCACCTAAAAGTTGCCCTCTCCAATTTTGGGGCCTGTTAATGGAATCATTTTTTCGCATCTTTGAACTCACGCTAACGTTCCAAAAGTTCAGGTCTATGAGAACTCCAGGTTTTGTCCGGAAAACTGTTAAAGTTCGTGCCTCACTCTCATATGTTATCAGCATACGTCGGATATGAATGAAAAATGAGTTTTTCCATTTATCGACCTACAGTCGCCAAACTTTCTGAGAATGTTTATGGTCACTAGTAGGTCACGTATGTCAAAACATATTTTCTCATATTGGTCATATTTTCGGGTTTTGGGACATATTCATATTCCCGATCATATTTCGGGGTTTTTTCGTTCATTTTATCATTTTTGACCAAATTCTAAGATTTGGCAACCAAATCGACAGAAAATGA